ATACCCAATAAATAATAATTATTTTTTCCTGTGTGGTGGCTGGTTCTTTTCCAATGCCTTTTCCTTTTTCCAATACTATAATTTTCATGCCATAAATTCTATTTTTAATTTAATTTTATTATTGTGGTTGTGATCTCAAATAGTTAGTTTTAATCTATTTTGTTGGTTTATTGAATTAGTGACCTAAATTATCCAAATAAAATTTATTATCTAATTCAACTATGGTTTATAATTTTTCAAATTATTCTAAAAAAAATTATATATTAATAACGGAAATCTTATAAGATTCAAATATCTCAAAAACAGGGATTACAATTCAACCCAACTCTGCTTTTAAAATTACTGTAAATGTTAATAATATTTTATTTTTGTAGCTAATGTGAGTAATACGTTGTATCTCATTGATGTATTATTGAAACATGTATGGTTATTAAAATATAATTTTTTTAAAACATTTAAAAAAAGAGAAAACTAATCGACAATCAACCCAGTAAACAGAGAGTTAGATTTGGTTATGAACAATGTTTAGATCGAAGAAGGAAAAACTTACTTGTTCAAAGGCATCACTAACCAACTTCTTATGCATGTAAGAAAACTATCATTGACCCTTTATAATGGTGTGATATTATCCACTATAAGCATAAACTCTCGTAGGTTTACTTTTGGTTTTCAAGGCATCATACTAGTGAGAGATTGTATTTTTTATTTATAAAATCATGATATTCTCTTTAATTATCCAACGTGTGACTTCTCTCCCAACAATTATTTTTTCGAATAAAGAACACTATAGAACCTTCTCTAAAGTCAATAGAGTCCTCGAACATCCTCGTTTTTAAATTATAACACGACAGTGACATAGCAGAGTAGTTGGAAAACAAATAAGGGTGCGTAGAAATCGTGGGCATCAATATCTGGAGGCGAATTCCAAATAAGAAACTTTATAAACCTTTAAATATGGATTATAATATAATGTTGAGTCTTAATGAACATAATTGATACATACCAAGCTGTAAATGATCAGATTTCTTGAGCGTATGAACTTTACAAACCATTTAAATCTCTGTTCTTGGCTATTGTTTTTCAAGCAACCTCACTGGACACTCATGGATGTGACTTGTTTACCCATTTTCTTCCTTCTCCTTGCGCCTGTGAGCCAATCTCTGGCAAATGGGCAGCCACTGGTTCCTGCAATGTTCACATTTGGGGACTCTGTTCTTGATGTGGGCATCAACAATCACCTCAAAACCCTCATGAAAGCTAACTTTCCCCCTTATGGGAGGGATTTTGTTACTCACAACCCCACCGGACGGTTCTGCAATGGAAAACTTGCCTCAGATTTCACTGGTGCTTTCAATTTTAGAACCTCATTTCATTTACTTATGTTTATATACAAACTATGAGCGTTAGTAGATATTCTATGTGTTGGCCCGTTATGTATAGGCCCTCGTGGTTTTAAAACACTCTACTACAAACAAGTTTTCACACTCTTATAGAGATTGATTGGTTCTCCTTTTCAACCAATATAGGATCTTGCATACCAGCCTGATATTTGGTTCTGATACTATTTGTAACGGCCCAAACTCATCACTAGTAAATATTGTCTTTTTGGGTTTTCACTATAAGGGCTTCCTCTTAAAGTTTTAAAACGCGTCTAGGGAAGCCCTTGAAGGGATCGTTGGGTCTCTAAAGGGGTAGATTGTGAGATCCTACATCGGTTGGGGAGAAAAATGAATCTTCTTTATAAAGGGGTGAAAACTCATCTCTAGAGACACGTTTTAAAAACTTTGAGTGAAAGTTTAAAGAAGACAATATCTATTAACGGTAGACTTTGACTGATACGTTGAGTCCATGAGTCCATGAGTCGATGATCTAATAAGTTCTTTTGTTGCCTTGTGAACAGCTGAGTACTTGGGATTTACATCTTACCCACAAGCTTACCTGGGTGAAGCAGGAGGAAAGAACCTCCTGATTGGAGCAAGCTTTGCCTCAGCTGCTTCTGGATACCTTGACACAACAGCACACCTATATGTAATACTACTCTAAATCAAAAGCTACGGTTCAAGCCCACCGCTAGTAGATATTGTCTTCTTCCTCTCAAGATTTTTAAAACGCGTCTGGTAGTGAGAGTCCCCTCTCCAACCAACATGGGATCTCACAATCCACTCTTCTTCAAGGCGCACTAGTTCCCTTCTATGTGAACCATGAGGGGAAGCCCGAAAAGAAAAGCTTAAAGAGGCAATATCTACTAGCGGTGGAGTTGGACCGTTACAGTATCGATCTTGGACACCGCTCCTATAATTAATAACATGTTTGGCCTTGTGGTATTGTAGAATGCTCTTTCCCTAACGCAGCAGCTGGAATACTACAAGGAGTATCAGAACAAAGTAGCAGAATTTGCTGGCAAAACCAACGCTTCAGCCATCATATCTGGTGCTATTTACCTTGTCAGTGCGGGGAGCAATGACTTTCTGCAGAACTATTACGTGAATCCTCTGGTTTACAAGAAATATACTGTTACTCAGTTTGCTGACATTCTCATCGCCTCCTACGTCAACTTCATTCAGGTTTTGCCCTTCCTCCTTCGATCCGAATATTTTAGAGAAAGTTCAAAGAAGATAATATCTGCTAACGGTGGACTTGGACTGATACAAATGGTATCAGAGACAGTCACTGGCCAATGTGTCAGTGAGGACGCTAGCCCCGAAAGGGGTGGATTGTGAGATCCCACATTGGTTGGAGAAGAGAACGAAACATTTCTTATAAGGGCATGGAAACCTCTACCTAGCAGACGCGTTTCTTAAGGGAAAACCCGAAAAGAAAAGTTTAAAGAAGATAATATTCACAAACAGTGAGGTTTCCACGTTTGTTTTTAGAATCTTTATGCATTGGGAGCAAGGAGGATTGGAGTAACAACATTACCACCGCTTGGATGTCTTCCGACAGCCATAACAATCTTTGGATCAGACAGCAATGAGTGTGTGGGGAAGCTAAACAATGATGCAGTTTCATTCAATAGCAAGCTCAATGCCACATCTCAGAGCTTGCATGCCAACCTTCCTGGCCTCAATTTGGTTGTCTTGGACACTTACAAGCCTCTCTATCAACTTGTCACAAAGCCTGCTGAAAACGGTATGCCATTTAGTCTAATTGCTCATACAATATCCACGTCGGTTAGAGAGGGAAACAAAACATTCCTTATAAGAGTGAAAAAATTTATTCCTAGTAGACGTGTTTTAAAACTGTGAGGCTGACGGTGATATGTAACGGGCCAAAGCGGACAATATCTGTTAGCGACGGGCTTGGACTGTTACAAATGGTATTAGAGCCAAACATCGAACAATGTGTCAGCAAAGAAACTGGCCTCCAAGGGGTGGATTGTAAGATCTCACATTGGTTAGAGAGGGGAACAAAACATTCTTTATAAATGTGTGAAAATCTCCCCCTAGCAGACATGTTTTAAAACCGTAAGGCTGACGGCGATATGTAATGGGCCAAAGCGGACAATATCTGCTAGACTATTACAAATGGTATTAGAGCTAGATATCGAGCGATGTGCCAACGAGGATGTTGGCCTCCAAGGAGGGTGGATTGTGAGATCCCACATCGGTTGGAGAGGAGAACAAAGCATTTCTTATATATTGGGAAACCTTTCCCTAGTAGACGTGTTTTACCATCGTGAGGCTGACGGCGATACGTAATGGACCAAAACGGACAATATCTGCTAGACCGTTACAAATGGTATTAGAGCTAGACATCGAGCGGTGTGCCAACGAAGATGTTGGTCCCCAAGGGGGGTGGATTGTGAGATCCCGTATCGGTTGGAGATTGGAACAAAGCATTTCTTATAATTGTGTGGAAACCTCTCCCTAATAGACGTGTTTTAAAACTATGAGGCTGACGACCATACATAACGAGCCAAAACAAACAATATATGACCATTAGGGTCCACGACGTGTTATTAACTCGTGGTCGTGTCCATAAAATTGTGTAGGTTTCTTTGAGGCAAGGAAGGCGTGCTGTGGCACAGGCTTGCTCGAGACATCAATCCTATGCAACAAAGAATCGGTAGGGACATGTGCGAACGCATCTGAATACGTGTTTTGGGATGGATTCCACCCATCAGAAGCTGCAAACAAGTTCTTGGCCGATAATCTACTCCCTGCTGGCATCTCTCTCATTTCATAAATCATACGCCTCACTGCCCCAAAGTTGTTGCCTCTTCTGCTGTCTGTTAATCCAGAACGGTGTGAAAGTTATCTTATTTATAATCAAATAAATTACCGGATATGAAAATAGTAATAAATAGAAAGATATTTATGGTAATAAGTCAAATATCAGATATTTGCCATAGAATAAAATATCAAATATAATATATATATATATATATATATATATATATATGTGGTAAACTATAATTTAGTACTAAATATTCTTAACACAAGTCTATTGGGTTATCTTCTACTGTTCTCCTTCCTCAACACAAGTCTACTGGGCTGTCTTCTACGGTTCTCCTTCTTCATATACTTACTTTAGTTTTGGTGTTAGATATATAATGCCCATCACTAATTGATATTGTCTATTTTGACTCGTGACGTATGATCTTACACTCTTAGACATGTCAAAGGCTAGATTAGGTTCATCGGACATGCTCGAAACTCAAAGCATCGACCCATATGACACAATGGCTACCTTCAAGGCCCACAGTTAAGGAGTTTTATATATTTTTGCCTTGTTATAAAATATTTATGTCTTCCGGGTCGGAAGTAAACTTATTACAACTATATATACTCTCGGTCAACAAAATAACGATTTTTATTTCTTTTTAATTTGATAATATATGAGATGGAAGGATTCGAACCTCTAATCTCTTGATCGATGATATATATATTTACGGAGAAGTAGGCCCAATAAGAATTCACAAATGGGCCAGCAGGCCTTACTAAAGAGCTATGTTGGGCCAGGCCCAGATAACGGTCCGGTTATTGCGTATCAATATCGATCCCACCGGTGGTAACTCAGGAGCAATCCGTTCCCGCGGTTTGCAGAGATTGACCGTACAGTTTTCCGATTAGGGTTCAACAGAGAGTGTGAAGACGATACCGTGAGAGAATCCGAATCGATCACAGACATGTTTGGGTTGAAGCGATTAGTTCCTCATACTTGCTCGATTCGAACTTCTTTAACAATGCAGCTCTCTGGTTACCAGGAAAAATTGCTTGTTTTTCCTTCGCAGCACTTAGCTCAGCTGACTTCCAATCGCTTTCTCGACATTTATCAGGTACCTTGATTACTTTTCTGAGCTTCCATTAGGTTTTGAGAATATGAAACGAAATTTATTTAACAAAAATGTTGGATATTTTGACTTTTTTTTTTTCTTTGGTTGCTCTTTCGACGAAGAATTTTACTATTTTTGTTGTTGAAAGATAATTGTACATGACCGAGAACATCTGACGTGAATTTATTAAATGATTGCTTAGTTCCGTTTCTTAGAACTGGTTGAAAATACTCGTTCATGCCTGTTATATGTTTTAGATTCTTCTTGATGCAGTTATTCGAATAAGTTAAGGGGTAATATGTGTGTGTCGTATTGAGATTTTTTTTTTACCGATGTTTGCAGCTTGGAAACAAAACAGCCATTGAGAAAGAGCGCGCTCGACTGTAAGTTGCATTACAAAGCTGTAGGCAATTGATTAACTGACACCAAAAATTATCAAGAAGCTTTGTTGATTTAAATTGCGACAGTGCAGATGAAATAAACAGAGGATACTTTGCTGATATTGCAGAGCTTAAGCAACATGGTGGAAAGGTAATATATTAGTTTTGATGACAAGTCGAGTTAAATTTTAAATGGTAGTGTAAGGTTTTTTTCTCAAATTTTAATTAATTAAAGCCGAGTTTGAAGATTGCAGCAGCTAACAAGATTCTGATTCCGGCTATGGCTGCTGTAAAATTTCCCGAGTTTGAAGTGAGCTATTCTGATGGTAAATCGTTGAAGCTACCCATTAAATTCGATGCTAATGAGGTTGAAGGCAACAGTTTGGCATCGGCCTTGCCTTTGGCCACATTACTGTGTCTTTCTTTCAGAGCAAGCTCCCAGGTACATTTTGGTTTTGTTATCACCGGTTTGTTGGTTGACATGGATACAACATGGGAAAGTTTATAATAATCTTTAATATGATGACAATATTGTATCATCAATTAGGATTTAGAAGTGTCCTTTGCCATTCCCAATTCTTATTTCTCTATGAATTTTCAGTTATCTGGAAAATGGATAAAATACAATTATATATACACTGTGATCTTTTGTCATGTCCGGAAGGATCCTGAAAACTTTTAAATCAAATGGCCTACGTATCTCTGTGATCTTTTGGGATAAGCTATACTTTATTCTGGATTAGTGGCTAACAACATTTGGATCGGTGGCTTTAAAGATGTTAGTTTGAATTAAAGCTTTCTTCATTGCGTCGATCAGTGTCAATCCAAGTGGTTGGATGCTACATATTTAATGAGTTAATGTAAAAAAGCAGAGTTAATTGCCTTCTTTTACTTTATTTTGTTAGGAGAAACGTTGTCTCACTGATAAGAAGTGGTATTGCCCCTTTTTCTTTGTCTAATAGCGTTAGAGTTTCAGAATTTCAAATAAAATTGTCCTGAAATAAACTACTTCAATGCACTAAAATAAGCTAGCCAACTTCGTATTCAAATTTTGATGCTGTTTGGGAATGGTATTAAAAAGTTCTCAATTCTTTTAGGACTGATATCTGTTCCTTATTATTAACTTATTTAGACAGTCAAAACTTTGAATGTTGTTTTAGCTGAGTTGTGCTCAAACATTCTTTGATTTAAGAAGAGTCTTCAAGTATTCTTTAGAATAATAAATCAAATAAAATAAAGGCTATGCAGCACAATACTCAACAATGAAGTATTCTCTTTTAGCCCATTATAAATCTGTTTAAAAGAACTTTTCTCTTGGAAGTACATCCAAATGATACTTTGCTTTCCATACATTCACTTCCTTTGGAGGAGCAATTGAGTTAGACAGGCATGCTTGCAAATCATTAAATTGATCAAGAAAAGATGTATGTTGGCATCATCATCATATCTTCCTTTTACCTTTGCAGGCCATGATTAATTCTTGGAGTGCCCCTTTTCTTGATGCCTTTTCGAGTTCAAAGAATGTCCAGTTATACGAGGTAACGTAATTCCATAACTAATTATATTTGGTCCCGCGGTTGATTTTGTTTATCAATTCCTCAAACCATACGTAATGACCATTTTCTGTTGCAATTTAAAAATTTAGAAACTTCGGCATTCTAATCAGAATGCAGATGCTATTCTATGTGTGTATAAACTGAATTCGTAATGTTATGGTTCTGTTAACAGCATTTAAAATTTTCACTTGCAAGGTTTCGTTTATAGACTCGTGGTTGTTATGTCGGAACCCAATTAAGAAAGTGCTTCTTCGGCTGATGAGGAAATCCAGTGACAATGCACAGAATGACTCACTTCAAAGGAAGATTGTATACTCGTTTGGCGACCATTATTACTTCAGAAAGGAGCTCAAAATACTAAATCTTCTCTCTGGGTATGAGTTTATTTCATTTCCTTGCCTTCCTTTCCGTTTTCCTTAGATAAATCAATAAAGTAAAAGTGATACAAATATTCTTCGTGAACATCTTTTTTACTTCTTAGGTATATATTTCTGCTTGACAAATTTGGTAGAATAAGATGGCAAGGGTTTGGATTGGCAACTCAAGAGGAGGTGTCATCTCTTCTTTCATGCGCGTCACTTCTTTTGGAAGAGAAATAAGTGAGTGACAATTTATCTATTGGCAAACATGGAAAGATTTTTCTCAATTTCTCAGAGTTTAAAATTTAACTTGAACTATTCAATGTTCTTCAGAACTTATCCTCCATAAAATGATTTGGGGTCGGAAGTCTATTTTCTGACGATGCAGCAAGAAAAATTAGCAGATGATTACTGGAATGGGTATTTATCAATAAGGATGATCTGATTTTCGAATGGTGTGAATTAACGCCAAGGAAAGATTTTGTGAGTTAATTTCTAGAAAGCCACTATTATATATGTTAAAGTCAAGTTGTCAAATGTAAGATGACGACTCTTTTTGTTATATAATGTATGCTCATTTTATTTCCAAGGTTTTGTTTGTTATTTCACGCGTTGGTTTATTTTCGTGAACACCTAGGTTAATGCTATAGAAAATTATTAGGTATAATCGCATAATAGCTTTTTTTTTTTAATCTCTTTGACCTAGCTTGTATAAAACCATTGTTTCCACTTCTCCATCCCGAGTGGTGTTCTAATTTTTTTTTAGAATAAGAAAAGTTGATTGATGTTCGATATTTACGTTATTCACGATGCTTACAAAAGACCTTTTCAATTCACAATGGAAGGAGGTGTGACTATAGGAACTGAAAGTATGGAATAATTTACATCAATATATTCTATGGTAAACTACATTGTCGTAGATCTTTGTATAAGTGAGTCTTCTCCGTGAATATTCTTTGATTTCTTTTCTTCCATAGATTTAAGATGTCATAATGATATTTTTACACAGAAGGGCTTTTGCATATTGCATGTCATGTCTCTTCAATTTGTCTGACAATAATTTTTGAAATTGACTAGCCAATTTGGGTGGGTTGAGTCCTCCTTTAGGCTTTTAATAACTGTGGAGGGTGCATGCTCATAGAAATTTGGATATTAACATTACATTCTAAAATAAAATACACCATAATTAACTTAGTTTTTTATAAGGCCAATGTTGAACTTTAAACATCAAGTAAAACTAGATTCAATTTTAAATACCAAAAGTTGAGTTTCATGTGATTAAAATATTTGCAGACCAATAATTGGCCTTACAACTTTACAACACACAAGGAGATTCAGAACAATGAGTATAATCTCTTATAAATTGAACTTCTATAGAACCGACTAGTTCATATGAAGAGATTTACAACGCAGCTGAGACCAATATTAGTGGAGAGTATAATGTTAATTCAAGGGGAAAAAGGAAGGATTGAAATGGAGACTATGAGTGGACCTACGTCGGCTCAATGGCTATTATAACTATATGTTGGCATCTGAACATATTATACAGCGAAAGAATGACAAATCTAATCTTTTTCCTCTAGACGCTATAAGTGAAGGAAGCCGGAGAAAATGGATAATTTAACAAACAATACAAGAATGCTTAGTACAATAACTCTGTTAGGTTGATTCTGCACAGAGCCACTGTCACTGAGCTGCCCTGCGTTCACAAATTCACTCTTTCCAGTCTTGGTAGCTGTAGAAACATTTACCGAAGTCGAACCTGAATACGGAGAAAAACATATTAGAAACGTACCGTTCGATGAATCTCAAAACTATTTATAAGAAAATATAAGTTCTTTTAATTTCTGTTAAGTGATCTGTGATCTACTGTAGTAAAATGAATGAACCATGATCTTTGCGTAGCAGGTTGGATGAAGCTCATATAAACACATGGTAAAGTACAGATGACCAATGTGTATGTTTTGTGTATGATTAGGTACTCGAGTTGAAAAACGTGTGTTAAGAATCTATTTCATTATTTGTGTCCGAGATCGACTCGCAGAGAGTTGTGGACAGAAACTCACAGTCATAGTTAGTCCATCCAATTCGTTGATTGGCTAAATCATAAATAAAGATTTTGTCTTTCAGAACAAGGTCTGCCAAAAAGAGAGAGGAAGATACAATATCAGTATTTTCAGGTCAGAAAATGGATAAAAGATAAACAAAAAGTATAATATCTTGGAACTCACCCCCTAAAATTGTAATCCCTTGACCAGGAATTTTCTGGAAACCAACGCACCAAACAGTAGTACCACTCTGCATTGAAAAACTTCGTCAAACTCGATTACGAACGAGGATATAAGTTATAAGCTTATAGCAACAAAACTACATTTATCTAAAAATGATTCAATATAACGCTCCTTAAATCTGAGGCGGGAAAAACGGGTTTATGTCTGTTTTAAAAGTATGGCATGTCATAGTTGTAAGTGTCCAGGCAATGAAGGGAAGACTGTAAGCTTACAACAGAGCTTTGTTGAATCAGGTAGTCTTGGGGTCTCAATACCAATGATGCACCACCGGCAAAGTTTAAGCTTACTAGGGGAAATATATCAGAGATACTACGAGATTACACCGAAAGACAAAAAATAAAGAGTCAGTTTCCTCGTTGCAGTAAACGATAACCTCTAACGAAAATCTAGTTTGTAAATTAAACCAACCTGGAGGAGGTCATATAGCACTGATTTCCCCTGAGGATAATAGACTGTGACGATTGCGAAACTGTGTTCGTGATCTGTGTTAAAAAATAGAAGGAAAGAAATAAAAACTATAATTATTCGGCACGCATTAGAAAATACAGACCGTATTCCAAGATTGAATCTACTTCAGCCTTCCTATAAAGGAAAATATTGAATATAACAGTGTGAACAATGATAATGAATAATGAAGCGTCATAATGGTGCTTTGGTCATTTGAACAACAAGAAACATCTGAAAGTGAAACTTACAGCAGCAACAAAAGTGTCGTAAGCTTCCTCAGCAAGGTATGCCAAAGTGGTGCCGGAGTCAATTATGGTTCCTTGGCTATTTGATGTTGCAAAGACAGCTGGGTTGATGGGTAATACTCGACCATTAACAGAGATGCTCTGCAGATTCAAGTTATAATGGGGCCTGAAAGTTGATGCCAACAAGAACAACAATTAAAAACCATATGCTTTCACACATTATTTGATCAAAAACCTCCAAAAACTCAGATAAGTTTACAATGCTTGCTGTTGTAACATTTTAATTATAGGTAACTAAGTTAATAAGAGACATCCTAGACAAAGATAATGAAAATGGATCAGGGAAAACGAAAACGTACTGTGATGGTACTAGAGGCGTATAAACAACATTTGGCTCGACAATCTCACCGAGGACCAATATTCCCCCACCACTATCATCCCCTTTCAAGCAGTGGGAGAACACTTTCGGCGCTAATCCTCGTGAAGACAGTTGTGAAATTACAGACAAGTCCTGTTGCCCGAACCCGAAGATCCCATCAATTGCTCTATCTGACTTAGTCAAGTCTCCAGTCTGTGATGTGCTACACCTGTTTAATAAACGACAATCCACCAACGAAAAGAGTTGATCACAGGTAAAGAAACATATGATTATGAGAACTGGTTTTGGAATGAAGCATAAACTCACCCAAACATAACTGAAGCTGAAGAATTTGTAGTCATGGCACTATCAACTACTATATCAAGATGTATCATGTCCATAACATAATAGCCCGAAGTTCCACTTCCATCACCGTATTGGAAGACATAAGCACACTGATTGCTCTGCCCCAAACAGGCTGAGTCGGAGGATTGAACTCCAACAGCACATATTTGGTCTGAACAAGAGACCAAAGAAGCTGTTGATGAGCTACCAGGGTCAAAGAAATTGAGCTGAATCTGTGAGGAAAACAAAAAACAACTGAATTGAAAAATTGTTGCGGCAAAATGGTTAGGGTTTAAGAGACAATGCCGCCAGTTTAAGACGGAATTTAAACTTATGGCAACACAAAATCACCTGTAGCCCACTAGTTTCTGGGCAGCCACTGCAAGAGTTACAGCTAACCCACAAAACATCACTTCCAGTATCGATCTGCACAAAGAAATCCTTTGGGGGATTGCCTAGTTGAACTTTAGTGTAATAAAGCCTGTAAAAGAGCCACGAATTTTGGGCAAACCAAAATATTATGATCAACAAAGGTAATTAATGTATCAAGAAACAGAAGGACCCAATATATTGAAAGATCAATTCATGAACAGAACTATCAATTGGGAAAAAGAGAGCACAAAATAATAGAAGAATAATGCATTTCTGGGGAAAAAAAAAACCAGAGGTTCAGAACTCATTCACAAAAGTCTCAATCAGGACAAAACCCCCAAATATGTTCCTAAAATCAGAACATCTTGTCAAAGACTCAGAATACGAAAACTGAATTGAAATTCCAAAAGAAAGATAAAAGCAGAAATCGAAATAAAAGATTCGTTCCCTTTCCTTACCCAACGAGAAACGGGTCGTAGGTTCCAGCCACAGGAAAATCAATAACACCACCAGAAGATTGCAGTATTCTACCATGTCTAATCCGGTCCCGGCCACGGAGTTGAGCCAATTCGACGCCATGATTCGTCGGAAAAGCCCTCTCTAACGTCAGCTTAGCCGGAAACCCACACAAAACAGTCGCCGCCTGAATCATCACCACCGCAACAGCAACCGACACTCCAGTACGAACAATCGCAACCATTCTTCAATCCCTCGTCTTCAAAATTGGTTAATAACCACCAAACAAAGCGATTAAATACTCAAATCAAAGAAAAAAAGACAAACGTCAGAAGACAAGGACGAAGATAACAAGGGGGATATAACCGAGGAGCGGATTATTGCCGATGTTCATCCTAGAGAGAGAGAAAAAGAAGGATTGCTGAACAGTGTAGAGAGAGAAAGGAAAGGTCCGAAAGAATGGAGCAGACAGAGAAGTTTCGGTGAACTGAGCAAATTGAGATTACGCTACCGATGCTCTGTCACAAAGTAACCGATTTATCATTCCCTTTCCAGCCTCTCTCCCTTTATTTGTTTTAAAACAATAAATAAAACTTAATTAATTAACTAATTAATTAATATTTATTATTAATACGAAAATGATTAGAGCATAGGGACACATAAAGTGTATTATCGACAAAAATACGAATCTATTTTTATTTCCCCATTTTATTCCTAAACGCTGTCGTATTTGAAACTTTATTTTTATCACATGATTGTCATATTCTTTTTCTTTTTTTTTTTATTCCTCCCACAAATTATATTTTGATTTCCTTTTAAGACCAATTCTCTCAAAAGAAGAACAAAGACTAATTCTGTTAGATGCAACGTCGCATTTGTTAGACGACTCTCTACAATGGTATGATATTGTCTACTTTAAGCATAAACTCTCGTGGCTTTGCGTTGGACTTTCCTAAAATGTCTCATACCGACAGAGAAAGTATTTTTTAATTATGAACCCATAATCATTCCAGCCGACGTGGAACTTTCATCATCCAACAGTGGACCTTGACCTTGAGCAGAAGAAAGGTTGAACCGAATAACTTGA